TAGGAATCACCATCCACCAGGCAGCCAGCAGGAAATCCCAACTTCTTGAACTCATCTGTGATTACCACAAGAGCTGCAAGTGCCCATTTCTCAGAATCACTGGTTGTGACCTGAACTCAAGAAAGGGAACCCTAAGAGGTAGCCAGAAACTTAAGGTCTACTCTCAGGTTCATGTAAGTAGGCACATGTTCTCATTGCCATAAGAGTGTAGCCTCTACAGCTGCAGGAAGTAAGGGTTAGGGAAAGATTGTGGAAAGACATTCTATCTTCTTTTTGCTAGACATCCAAGTGGAAACTGTGCTGTGAACCAGGATAAAGGGGACCTAGGACATGTTGGTGCAAAATAAACAGCTCTGACTCAACATTATTGCTTAGTGTCAATAATTTGTATACATATAGTATTCCATATTTCACTTAGAGGCATAAATATAACTAGCATCAAAATTTTTATGCATGAAACTGCTGTTCACATTGAAGAGGAACACCAAGGGTCTTTTTTGGGGAGAGGGGAGAATGGGCTTGGCTTACTGGTGTCCGGGTAGTTTGGGAGTATAGATTCAAAGGACAGCAGGTAATAGGGAGGAAACTGGAGAGAAACGAAAATAACAAAGCAGTTTATATTGAATGAATAATGAAAGATAACAAGGGGAAAAGATGGGCAGTGGTGAGGAGTTATCCTGTAACTTTCTCTCCCTGAAACGGGAAATCTTTCTCAAGTTTGATCTCATATATCAGAGAAGATGGTATCTGGAAAATCCCACATAAATTAAGAGTAATGAATTGTCAGGGAGGTCACAAACCAAAATATAATGTATGAGTAAAAATAAAAGTTTAATATGTCTCAATAGCTTTTAAAATATTTTATCATATACTAAAACATAGTAGGGAAAATGTTGTCCTTGGGATCATAGGTTTACAGTAGGAAAGGACTTTAAAGGGCATCTAGCTCAATCCCCTTATTTGCCAGATAAGGAATCCTTAGTTTAGGAATAGTAATCGACTTTTCCCATGTTACATGGGTAATAAGAAACCAAAGCAGAATTGAAACTCAGATCCTCTGACTTCAAATCCTATTCTCTGTCTGAAGGCTTGGATTTGAATCTAGTCTTTGACATTAAAGCTATGTGGCCATAGGCAAATCACTTAATCTCTCTAAGTCTCAGTTTGCTCTTCCATAAAATAGGGACAATATTACTTGCATTATCTACCTTAAACAGTTGTTGTGAGGAAAGGACTGTAGATCTTAGCATGCTCTGTAAAAGTGACTTATGAAAATAAGTGAAAATAATGATGACATATGTGATATACATTATTTAAGCATTTTAAGAGCATCGATACAACCAGTAGGGTGAACTCAATTTTCTAGCCTATGAATTGAAAAAAAAAATTGGTTTGTAGAGTGTTTCATAAATCAAAGACTATCAGATGCAATGGACTTTAGGAATCATCTGTTCCAAGCCCCACTTTTTTTAGGGTGGGAAACAGAGACTAGAGATGGGAAATGACTTTTCCAGGGTCACACAGTGAGCAGCAGAGTCAGGAGTAGAATTCAGTTGCATGTCTCCCCATTCAGGGCTTTTTCTTCCCTAACACAACGATCACTAAATTTCAATCAGCATCATTCTTTTTAAAATTACATCAAGAATTGTCAGGTCACTAACCGTGAGGTAGTGGAGAAGCTGGCACCTGAATTGGGCCTCGAAGGAGGAGGAAGGACTTCATTAGATGGGGGTGGTAGTGTTGGTGAGGATCCAATCCAAATCTGGGGAATAATATGAGTAAAGGTATGGGAGATGAATAGGACAAGAAACAGAGATTTTGTCTGGAACTCAGCAAACAGGCATGGGGAATAATATGAAATAAGGCTGGAAGGGTGGGCTCAAGCTAAGGAGGCCTCGAATGCTGGCATCAATACCTTATTCAGTAGATGTTGGAATCATAAGTGTCTGAGGCCAGATTTGAACTCAAGAAGATGAGTCTTCCTGACTACAGGTCCACCACTTCATCTACTTTGCCGCCTAGCTGCCCTGTACTTAGGAAGGCCTGAATTCAAATCCTTCCCAACACATTCACTAGCCCTGTGATCCTGGGCAAGTCACTTCACCTCTGCCTCAGTTTCCTCCACTGTAAAAGGGAGTTAGTAATAGTAGCTACCTCTCAAAATTTGTTGTGGGGGTGAAATGAATTAGCATTTATAAAAATGATTTTGCAAACCTTAAAGCACTATAAAAATGCCGGCTATTATTGTTATTATTAGGAGACAAAATGAATATGGACATGAAGAATTGACGGGCCTAAGTCTGAAATACATAGAAGAAATGGTATTTATTTGGAGATCATTTGGTTTTTCCCATGAGATAATACTCTGGGAGACTTCTGTGAGAATTGTAGTTATCACACCAGAAGAAATTAGGGCAATGTTTATTGGACTTTTCTCTGAGATAGTAAAAGATTTGAATTTGTGATGTTTTCCTGAACTGGACTTGGGGAATGGAGCCACAGAGGTCTACCTATATAGCCACACAAGTCACTCCTCATGAAATAACACAGCAGCAAAAATTTTGACTTTTGAAGAGATGAAACATTATCCATTATTTTCACAAGGATGGGACATGATAAAGTTCTATAGTTTGCTTGCTGATATCAGTGAATGAACAATCACAGGACTTTGTTTAAAAAAATTTTGATACTTTCTCTGATTGTGGGATATTTTCTTATCCATCATTCATTGTAAGAAATGCTACTGTTGACAACAAGGTACCACTGGTTAGAGATAAGAGCAGTTTATTAGATGGAGGGAAAGCACAGCTTTAATGTAGCCAGGAGACAGGGATTCTATCATCTGTCACTTTCAAGTTGAATAAATACTGAGACCTTTAATCTTTCTGTGACTGCTGCTCTATGCAGAAAGATAATACGTACTCCTACCTCGTAGGTAAATCAGGAGGATAAACTCCATTATTTAATGAATTTTGTTCAGTCCTGTATTTGTTTTCATTATGAAGTATTCAGGACCAGAAAAAGTTTAGATAATACACTTTCACTAGAGATTTCAATCTCTGTGCATGCATGTATATGTATACATATGTATATGTGTGTATATGTATAACACCTCACTTTCCTTCTCTCATTTCATTTCCCTAGAGAACCACATCTGTCTTTTGATACTGATGTTACTGCTTTTACTGCCTGAATTTTGTGTTTAATAATCTCTAGATATGACATTTCTAATCCCAGAATATTCTTTTTTCTTGATGCTTTATGTCTCTAGTGCTCTAAGCGATAAATAAAAGTGGCGTCCAGTTTGCCCTGTAGTGATTTATAGGTCTAGGTTCTATCTATTGGTCAAGTCAGTTTTCGACACCTGATTCTACCAGTTGCTAAGGGTGTTTGAGAGATTGGCCCTGTCTGAAGGAGTCACTGGGGGAAAGGGTTTTCTTTTCCTGGGAATGTGGAATTCCTTGGGGATTTTCCTACACTGATTTCTATATTTCTTGCCCGAGGCAAGTGTGTTGCACAGGACTCTGCTCCTTGTCACAAGGAGGGCTTAATCTTACATTAATTACACTAGGTCTGCAGCTTTCCCTGAGCTAATCAGGAAGGGCATTATATATTTGCTTCTGTCCACCTTCAGGTGACTTAGGATCCCAAGGCTCCCCTAGCCATGGTAGCAGCTTGGGGTCATGAGTCATGGCCCTGGCTTTGGAGGCCTGCCTCCCACACACACACCCCAAAAGGGAACTGGCTCCAATGACTCCCAGCCCGATTCAAGGCACAGTCACTGACCCCCTCCTCCCCACCGGGATGGCCCCAGGTGGCTTTGGGTCGTGGGTGGGGAGGAGGCGTGGTCTGGGTTAGAGAGAGGTCTGGCAGCCTGGGCTCAAAGTTGGTCAGAGGGCCCGGATGACCTCACCTATTCTCTAGTCCTTTGGGTTTCAGAGGTCAGCCTGGTCAGCTTGGCTAAACTTTTCTGAACACCCAGTGTGCAAGGGAAGGGAGGTGTGTGTGTGTGTGTGTGTGTGTGTGTGTGTGTGACAGAGAGAGGAGAGAAGAAGAAGGAGGAGGAGGAGAGAAGAGAAGAGAAGGAGAGGAGAGAAGAAGAAGAAGGAGAGAGAGGAGGGAGGGGGAGAGAGAGAGAGAGAAAGGAGGGAGGGGGAGGGAGAGGGGGAGGGGGAGGGAGAGGGAGAGAGAGAGAGAGAGAGAG